GTGCATGTTGATGTCTACAGTACAACTGCTTCCAAAAGATGCTGTAACTTATATCTGGTGTCTGAGGGCTTTTTTACCTCCAGTTATTAAAAAAAATTCTCTGGGACAGCATAGTGGATAGTAAGTCAAAGTAAATGTGTAATTGTCAGAACTGTCTTGAGCTATTTTAAAGCTTATTTCTTAATGAAATTAAAAAAAAATAACTGAAACTCTGTTTCTTAGCAAGATAGATCCTTGGTGTTTCTAGAATAGTTGCAGTTTCGGTAAAAGCATTGCCAGGTGGATATTGCCAATTTTTTTCTGTATTTCAATATTTGTGGAATGTTACAGTATTACTGCAAGAGGACCGGTTTCCACTGGATTCTTAGGCAGAGATTTGTTTTCCCTTCATATGAATTTTGGTGTGAATATTTTCACAATATATAGTCAAAGAAATTGTATTAATTAAATGACTCACATATAGGGCAATACTGTCAACACCATCTTTTAATTATTCTCTTTCAGTTATTTGGAGCAGCTGCAGTTTAATAGACTGAAAAGCCAGAGGTAGAGGCATGAGAAGCACCCATGTGAAGGGGAAAGAGCTGAATAAGGAAGCCAATTAAACTATCACACGGTCAGTTTTTTAGGGAACCTGAAGAGAAATTTTATACATCCTTATTTGCTCCTTATTTGTTCAGTTTCAGACTTCTGTCTTTACAACCATATTTAAACTGCTGAAATGATTTGATATTGAAATTATTATTGCATTTGAGCTCCATTGCTTTGGGAATACTTTATTGGATTTTGGAGGTTCTGCTTTATTTCATTCTGTATCAAAAGGGCCTTGTGTAGTAGGATGCATCAGCTCAGCAGGCTGGTAGTTTGAAGATATGGAAAAGATCAGAGCAGTTCCTCCCAATGTGAAACTGATTTTCTGCCTTCAGTTCAGAGGGAGCTTTGCTAGTGCTAATAAATCAGGGGGTTTGTCATATAATAACAAATACCTGTTTTAAAATGGAAGCAGGGCTTTGTCTCAGTTTTTAGAACATGGGTGTTGGGGGAATCTCAAAAGTTTAAAGATGTTTGCTGGTCTTACCACCACCATTTGAAAGTGTTTGTCTGTGTATCTGAGTCTGGTGTCTTTTGTTATACAAACACTTCATGAGCAGGAAACAGTCTAATATTAAACACATAATATTTGTGACACAAATATTTAGACCTTTCTGTTTAAATTTCTAGATGAAAATAGGAGATGTAAATCACACTATCTCTGTAACTTTGACTGTTTTTCTTTCTGTAAAGCTAAAAGAAACCTGAGGTTCTGGAAGTGAGAAGACTTTTCAGGTCATGCTAGAAACAGTTTGCAAGACTTGAGAAAGTTTCCATATAGCATAACCCTGTTTTCTTCTAGTGCTTTCAGTTCCTCTGATACTTAGTAGAAGAATAAAAGGAGAGAGGTAAGTAGCTTGTTAGAGTGGAACAGCAAATTTTTTTAACTGCACCAAATCACTTCAGTGAGCAAATATTTTTTTCAGTTTTGTTTTTAACGGACTGAGGAAAGTTAAACTCGATCTGTGCAAACTGAGGAAAATCCAGCGGCATTTCTGGAAGTTGACTTTTATTCTGTGTAGTTTTCCTACAAAAATTCATGTGGCATTCCGAGGCTAAGAATAAATATTTTCACACTAGTATAGGTTTACGTTGCCTGGGCTCCGATACATCTTTCTGCCTGTGCCTTTTTCTTTGAACAACCATGAAGGGAAGTCTTATGGGAAATGCAGAGATAGTTTTAAAAGTTTTGTTGGAAGTATACATGCTCCAGAAATGTAAATGTGGTGGGCTGTAAGAGGACAGCATTTATTTTATAATGCAGGTAAAAAGCAGCAAAAGCATGTTGACAGTCAGTATGTACGAAGCAATGTGAGTTAGCGTTCAAGTTGCACAAAAAAAGGAAGAGGATATCCTAAGGAAAAGGAGTCACAAGGGACGTGGGTTTAGCTGCATTCCTGCCCTGAAGATCAGGGAGGGCTTGCAGAAGAAATGGTGCTGAGATCAACCCTTTGGGGTGGTTGGTTTTGTGTGTGACTTGATCATGTGCTTGCTGAGTATGGTGCTGTGAGCGCCTGCTCCTCTCATTTGGGGCTAAATCTTGGTCATTGGTCAATAGTGAAGCAGGATTTGGGGTGCAGGGGTGGAGGAAGAGGGTTAAGAAATGCTTTGCTCTTTTAGCAGCTCTTCAGTGTCCCTTCTCACTGTGGGATCAGAGCCTCTCTGCTGTACAGCCCCAGTCAGTAGCTTCTGGCCTTCCTTAACATCTCAGGTCTGTAAAGTGGCATCTTGGGATCTTGCCTTTGGTGACCTTATTTACTTTTTTTTTCCTTCTTATGCACCTCTTCCTTTCCTTTATGGAGGAATTTTCTGCAGAAGTGCTTGACACACTGTCAGTTCCTTGCTTTCTATCTGCTCAGTGCAGCTTTGGAAACACAAGCACAGAAATGGTTGCTTAAAACCCAGAGGTTTTCTCATCTTTTGTACACAGAGTAAAGGATATGTAAGAGACTGAGATAATAAGTAGAATGTAACTTTAGGCAAGCTATAAGTGTTTTTAATTTTGGGTGTGAACTTGCTTGTGAGAAAACCACAGAAAACAAGTTCCTTATATGGTCCCAAGATGCTGTGTAATCTGTGCAGTTATCATGGGACTTCAGCATTTAAGGGGTTTAAACTTAAAGCAAATCTCTGGTTTGTGTGTCAATTTGTTGTATTTTCAGAGCACTTGTCTGGAAATAACTTTTCCCAGCAAGTGGGATTCTGCACAGAGTTGTATTGCTGCTTTTGGCCCTCAGATCCAGTTCATTTGGGGATGAGTGGCAAAGCACTGTAATATGAGAACAGAAAATGTATATTCAGTAGGTGCAATGCACACCAGGAGATCAGATTTCTTTTCTCATATTTTTACATGTGTAACTAGACTGTTATTTTGAGGTCTTAATTAAAATATCAGAATAATATACTGTGATTTTCTGTTGTCGTAGGAATAGTTAACGTATAGTGTAAAATACATTATAATAGTATTTTCCCTGTGAATATGCAACCACTCTGTGACTGTCAGGAAGAAAATGGGATTTGATTTGTTTTTTCTCCTTATGTGCAGAGAGGTGATTCATTTCTCACATGGTTGTTCTTTAGCAATTGAAAAGCATTTCTCTATTTTTAGAGTACCTGGTGTTGCTACTTTCTTCAATTCTGCATTTTGTACATGGGCAGTTTGAATAGTGTGTGCTGGACATTGGGAGGAGATTTGGTTGGGCAGTGCTTGGGATTCGTGTGCTTTCAAAAAAATGTTTACTGCTACTGGATTTTCCTGTAAAGTTTTTATTTAGGTTGCTTGTAGGTTTACTGGAAAAATAAATGGGATCAGAAGCACCCAAAGGGGAGAAGGTTTTTGAGGACTCATTTTGTCCTGTAGGCTGAATGATCTTCTTGGGGTCAAAAGTGAAAAATAAGTCTGATTTCTGGATGTACTTTGATTGACTTAAATGCCAGTCAATGCTTGGCAATGACTTTGTGACCTGAGTAGGCTTTTACTGGTTAAAAGGGTATTTCAAGAGTTACTTTTGGAAAAGTGGTGCATTGAGTGTCTTTAGCCTCATTCTTTAGTATTAGTAATGCCACTGCTAATACATAAAACATGATCATCTCCTTGGGGTTAACAGAGCAGGGAAATAGAGATATTACAAGCAGTTACTAGTTTATTGCACTGGCTGCACTCAGTGTGAGGATGGGAGTTACAACACTTGCTTATCGTATTTTAAGACAGTTGAGTGTATGAATTCAAAATGGGGATTTTTTTTTCTTTGTGATGATAATAACTGCTACCTGACATCTTTCAACTTGACTTCTAGGCCTTCAGTGCAGAGCTGGCATGATTTGGTAGTCTGGTGTTATGTGTGGGTATGAGACTGCACGCAGTGTTTACCGTGTGTGCAGCCAAGTGTGCCTCTTGGCATGTAAATGCATGAATTATTTTGCTAAAAGTATGACTTTTTGTGCTAATACTGCATGCTCTGCAGGACTAGTGTTTCTTAATAGTTATAGCATATAAAACACTGTTGTCCTACACAGTGATGTCTGTTCAGCATCTCAGATAGCAGTTCCTGTGAAATTTGTTGCCTGGGTTAATGGTGCTCATGTGTAATTTAGAACTTCTTCAAAGAAGTGAGAGAGAGCTCCTCAATTGTTTGTCCAGGAGGTGCAGCTGGTTTTGAATGAGTCCTTGACTCTGGTCATCCTGGGTTGTTTTAGTTCCTTGCCTGTGGTTATGGTAACAGCTTCAAATGTCCAAAACCGTTTTGGTCAAGAATTTTCAATACTGGTGATCAGAAGCAGCAATTATTCCCTGGTGATTCCATCCCAAAATTAATGTTGGAGGTTTCAGGGCTACCAAAAAACCTATCAACATTTATTAGATGTTATTAGAATGATTCAATTTATAGACATTTATAGAGATAGCTCCTGGTTTGATTCTTCATTGCTGGGTAGCATGACAGGGTGTTGGCTTTTTGGTGACAGGATTAAGCTGTCCTGATGAACAGAAATATTGTCACGCTGTACAAAGACTATTCTGAAATCTGTAGATTAAACATCTTACTGTTGATTTGGTTGACTGTGGCAATAAATTACAAGTGATTTATTTTTTTTTTCCCTGTAAGGTAATCAATAGAGCTGAAGCTCTGCCTTCTTTTCCCTGGAAACCTGCTCTGCTTATGCATAATATGATATTAAATTCTCCATTCCCTTTTTAATAGTTTGCCTCCTATGCTCCCTGCTGTCATCAGCCCCGGGAGGTCACCAGGCAGAGCACTGAGTTGCAGAGTGGTCCCTGATGGGGACCTGCGTGACCATCTGCTTCGTCAGTTCTTCAGGCAATTTGTGAGCTGCTGGGGGGGCGTTGAGAATTAGATTGTTGATAGCGTTCCTACAAAGACTGCTATTAACAGCCTGCTAGTCTCTGCTTCTCTACTGCAGAAGACAGAGTGATATTTGTGTTCCCATAGCATGTTGTGAAATGCATGAGATTTTGCTCATCCTCCTTGGAAATGAGAATAGGAAAATGAGAGCATCCTGAACCAGAAGCTATTAGAAGAACATGCAGAAACCTGCAGCGATTTGTGCTTTATTTTGTCTTCCTAGCTATGGATTAGAAGGACTGATTTTTGCAATGGGCTTTTTCCATAATGGCATTCTTGTATTGTTTGGTCAGAGCTTGCACAGGAGGAAAACAGGCTGCTGAATTTAGTCACTGATCTCTATTAGCCGTGGCCTAAGGCTATGCTGAGATTTATATCCCATTTGTATTGTTGCAGCTCAAAAGAAGAATGTTCAGAGGATGACAAGTGTATTCTGAGTAGGTATGTTGTTTCATTTTCATATGAAACCCATTTTTTTTTCTGCTTCCATTGGTCAGAAATGAGGTTAATAGGAAGAGAATATAGTACAGTGCTGCAGTGTTCCTGTTAAGGTAGAACAATAGCATCAGAAACAGTTCTTTAAAAATTAGCTGCTTTTATTAAATAAAGCTGCATTGTGCTGGTGTGCACAGTGCAGTCTTTCTTTTTTTTTAAAGCATATACTGCAGTCAGTGCTTCCCTAACGAGGTGGCACTATTGTTGAGTTAGAAGGATAGAATCATCATATTGCTTTAGGGGACAGCAGGATTTAAAAGGAGATGCCTTGCAGCCCTGTTTTACAGATTGGAAGCATCGGTTTAAGGGCATTGGCAGAATCATTTCCTTGTTCTTAGCAGCAGCCACTGCTGTGTCAGTAGTGTGTGGAATGGAAGTCCTAGTTGGTAGTCTGTTATGGAAACGCTGTTTACTGTTATTGTAGTACCGTGGTGACAACATGCCATTGAAATGGAAAACGAGCTCTCCTGCTATCTGGAAATTCCCAGTTCCTGTGCTTAAAACATCCAGGTCATCGCCACTTTCTCCAGCATACATGTAAGTGAGAGAAATGAGGATAATAAGGTGGGAATTTTTTTCGTGAGACTACCCTGTGGCAAAATACCCTGTTGTATATTAAATGACATTGGCACTCAGAATTTTCTCTTGTTTGCTGTGTAGACCCCCCCAGATTTTATCCTGGATGTTTCATGATGGATGTTGTGTCGAGTCTTTCCCTTCTTGTTGAAACCTAGAGAAAATGTTCAGATTAAGCCATATTCATAATAATATTGTATATGTTCATTTGAAAAGTTTGTGTTGTTAATTTGTAGAGCTGATCTTGAATTAACAAGTTAAGCTTTGAGGCTGGCAGTCTTTCTTTATAGTGTATATGCTAACATTTCTTCCTCCTGACATTTGCACTTGGAAATTGAGCTTGAAATCACCTGCTGTATTGTACTGCACTTTTGTTCGTGTGAGTTCTTGTGTAGAAGAAATCATCCTGTTTGGTCTTGTTTTATTCTTTAAAGTCTTAGCCTTAATACAAATTGAAAGTTCCAATAAAAGCTTAAAACATAAATATAAATCGTTCATATCTGAATCCTTTTACAGTTTATACAGGTTGTCCATGTAAAGTAACTTCATATAAATGAGTATTTTAATGCACATGGTGACAATATGCCTTTGTCTTGCCAACTCTTGATGCAGCTTTTGTTCACCTTTTGTTGCTGCGAGTTCTGTGTTAGCATATACAGGTGGCTTTTTTTTTCCTTCTGTGGAATAAAACTATACTAAGCACAGGGTACTGAATTGCTTCTGCCTTTATTTAAGGAAGCAGCTCTTTCGAAATGAGGAAGAGTTGCTTTAAATTTCACTGTGTAGATGACTTTCCTATCTGGAAATTACTGTAAAGGCTAGTACTTTCCAATAGTATTCCAGTCTAATACCTACAATATTAGTACTTTTAAGCCTGTATTGTCTGCTTGCAGATAAGCTTGTGCTTCAGCTACTGCAGGGACATGCTGTAAGAGATACACAGGTCCTCTCAGTGTCTTTTTTTTGTTGTTGCTGAGAATTACATTGATAACAGTGGGGCTGAAACAATCCAGCGCCGTGTGCATGGTCACTATTGTTCTCGGTCAGAAAGGCTGAGGCTTAGGGAGATAACCTGGCTGTACAGAACCTGGGCTGTGCACGCTCCAATTTAAGATTAATTTTCATGGAAGTGCTTCTGCCTTTTTACTGGGAGCCAGTATGTTTAAGGTCACCAGAAGATAATCTATTTCCAATAAATTACTACCTATTCAGAGTTTTTAAAAAATACGGTTTAAATACAGTGACAATCATGGTGTTAGAAGAGCTGTGAGGCAGTTGAACCTATTTCATGGAAAGAGTGCCTTTAGCGTTGTATGTTATGCTTTTGTTTTTTAAACTGTAGTACTTTTAAATGCAAGAAAATCAGAAATAGCCCAGTCTGATCTATCTGCTGCTGAAACCGAGCGTTTCTTTTGTGCGTCGCCTTTAAATCACTAATCTTAGCTCTGTGTGTGCTCCAGCTTTTGTGCTGGGGATGGTGTAGCTGATTATGTCGGTGTGTTCAAAGCATGAACAGGTTTAGTGGTCATGCTTAACTATACGATGCTGAGCTTATCTGGAGCATGAGAAATATGTGATCAGCAGCCCTAATCATCTCCTTATAATGAGTCAATGTATCTCAACGTTTATGAAGGCATTTCTTTAGTGGCACGCAGACCTGACATTAGCAGGACTCATAAATCTAATGTTAAAATTATTCATACACTTTATTATAAAGAATGAGAAACATTACAAAATGGCACCTATTTGATTTGGCAATATATATCAACTGATTAAAAAAGCCCCTTCTAATATAGATTGACCAGTAAAATAGGTGATAGAATTAATTATCTTCATTGCAGAGATTACAGTAAATTTACTACTGTGTTATGTGATCCAGTCTTCTTCACATTCATATTTATAAGTTTTCTGTCATAAGTAGTACTCTGCACACTGGCAAAGGGCTTAAGTTTTGAGTAAAAGATTGAGGAATAAGTGGTGTGTGATGTAAAATAAATGACCATAAAACTCTAGAATTCACAGATGAACACTTTTATGCTTGGTATTTTGGATCTAGGATATACAAAGGTGTGATGGAGCTTCTAATCCCTTTAATACTTAACATCTTAATCTTACAAAACGGGGTTTAGTGTGGTTTGAAATGTAAAGTAAGGAGGTCCTAAAGGTGTGGGGGGTTTTTTTGATTTTTTTTTGGTTTTTTTATATTTGTAATGAAATTCCAATTTTCCAGGTTCCTCTAGTAAAGTTGACCTTAACTTTAAAAAATTTCATGCTGCTTATGATTTACAAGTAACTTACCTAGAGGTTAAACTGATGATCAGGACACACAGATTTTATTAGTCTCACTTGGTCTGGGTACCCGATACCTGAACTCTGCCTTAGTTTCCCTGTACCCAAATGCCGAGACTGGTGGTTGTGAGCATGTTTGGCTTCTTGGATGAAGTGTGTTCTTGGATGAAGCAGCATCTACATACAAAGTACCACTGTGAAACGTTGGCTGTCCTGCAAACTGTGCTGCTGGGGTGGCTTAGCTCAGTCTCTGCCTGAAAAGTTTGTGGCAGTTCCTGAGGTGGGGAATGAGTATGAGGAGCTCAGAGAGTTCTGTGCTGCGGGAAAGTAGTGGACGGGTAGTACATGAAATAAAGGACCTGTGGAACTTGAGCTGGTGAGTTTGTAGGCGAGGAGGTGGTTCTGTTACTGGGAATTCTGCTGGTTTTGCTGGGTCTGGTACTGCTTTCCTGGCAATGGGAAGGAGCAGCAGTGACTCGCTGCCTCTTGGCTGGTAGCTTTGCTTACCACCAGCTATTTATTAGGGATATTTTCAGGACATCCTGACTGCAAGAGGTAACTCTTGATGTTATTCAAAGGATGAAGGGTCGCTCTGCTGGGGAATGCAGACATTCGCTGTCTTCTGGTGGAACTGGTCCAGAATTGCTTGAACTTTCCCTCAAGTTACAGAGATACATTTCATAGGGAAAATTAGGTACTATTAAAACTGGAGTGCTGGCATGTGCCAGTATGTGTAGGTGTAGCACAGCTGGTTTAGTGCACGAGGGAGGAATGTGCAGCTATGGGTGCGTGCACATGCCTTTGTCAGGCTGCTTTGCATTTTCTTTCATGGCACTCATGTTGCTGGGATTTAGTATATAGATTCCTTTTGTCAAACAGTGTGGAAACTGTTACAGCAAGTTTATGCACCGCTACTCAAATTATATTCATATTTGTGGTTGTGTTGACTATGTGGGCAGAGACCTAGGTGACTTAATGTATTATGTGGGCAGTTTCAGCAAGTGAATCAGAGGAAAGGACAAAGTGAATAATACAGAGTTGAAAAAGTGGCATTCTGTGGCATCATAGCTGTCATTTAACATGACTGCCATGTGTTAAAAACAAAAAACCCCAAAGACTGACCTAAGTAGAGGTTAAGAATTAAAGCACTATTACAGACAGAGTGAGGAACGATTCCACATTTGGTTGTATATAACGGCTTTGAGGTGCTAAGGAACATAAATCCCAGTTATTGTTCATGGGTCACATCATCTCATACGTAAAAGATGCAAGAGAATTCCTTCTTATTCACACTACCAACGTCATATTGTTTTCCAAAGTTGTGCACATCTTCCATTAATACGAACGGAAGAAATGTTTGTGGAAACTCAGGAGATTAAAGAACTATGATGGACATCTATAAAGAATTCAGTAATGCAAAAAAATGCAAAAATGCTAATTGAAACATATTATTACAGAGGATTGTTCTATCTGCTGTGTCATGTGAGAATATTCTCAGCTGTTTTCTGAAAAGTAAAATGTTCATTTAAGTGTTTTTAGTCGCCTACATGCCATTTTGAAAAATAAGAAAAATGAAAAAATTCTTAAGAATAATCCGTTTGTAATCTTAGTGCCTTCTGTCCTTTTACATGGAATACTGTGTTGACATTTTAAATGGCAACTATCCATTGCATGTGTTTTCTTAAGTAACTGACTAATGTTAGGAGAAATAAATTAAATGTGGTACTCCAAATATATTACTATCAAAGGGTTTGCAACACTGTCGGTCTATCCTGAGTCATGTGGTTGTGAAATTTGTCTGATAGGAAATGCTTCACAGCAGTAGAAATCGATTACTGTGCAGAAAAGCAGAATAAATTCTTAATATTCTGGACTAAGCAGCGCTGGTTTTAGCTGCTTATATTGGTTATATAGGTTAATGCTTTTGTGTCATCTTCAAATATCTGACTTGCTTTACAATAAGCTTTTTGAATTTATGCTATACAGTGATATATACTTAAATGGGAAAAGCTGTGTATGCGTAATTCATTAGACCACCTGTATTAGTTCTCCTTTGTGAGACCACCCTGTGTGTGTCTGCT